CCATTACGTCCTCACCATACCTCTTGCAAAGTCCAAATAAAAATAATTGCGAAATTAATTGTGAGGTTTAATTTAATTGTTGAGAGTAAATTGATTCTTTAAAATGCTACTATAAAGTCATACTTTCTTATAAAAGTTGTATAATTATATTATAGAGCAACATACTTTTAATTATTTGTGTTATTTTTTGAATTATGATATTTAAATATTAAAACAATTGTACATAATAATTAGACCACCTAACAACGGACTTACAAATAATATTATGACATTTTTAGAAATGCTCACCTATCCACGGTGGACACATATTTAATATGTCCACCGCTTATGTGGTATGCATTCATAAATTTTCTAACTTCTAACGAAAGGACTTTTTTTCGATTTTTTCAATTAATCCAAAATATTATCTCCAGATATCTCAATTCATCAAAATTCAAACAAGTGTTTCAAAGAAATACTTTACTTAAGGTTCTTTCTTTAAGGAATGAATATTCTTTAGAGAATCCACCATGCGCGGGTTCAATTCCCGTCGTTCGCTCATGATAGTGATGTATTTTTTGAACATATTAATATCACCAATATGTGATTGCCACATAAGCGGTGAGCATATTAACATGTACCCACCGTGGGTAGAGGAGCATCATCCATGACATTTTATAGGGTGCAATTTTGAGCGTTGTGTTAGAGATTATTTATATACCTAGTAAATATTTTTTACTTTATTTTAGTCGGAGAATATTAGTATTTATCTAAGTAAAATTAGTAGTATTTATTTAAGTAATCAAAAAATATGGTATGATTTACTTGTTGTATATAGAAAGTTGACTTCATTATGGAGTCAATTGTTGACCTCGTAGCAAATCTGTAACTTATAAATGTAGGTTTGAAATATATTTATATTGATTAAAGACCAGAAACATTTAAAATTGTTAATTGAAGAATCTAATTCCTATCAGTTAAGGCTTAAAAGATGAATCGATTGTCAATTTAAAATTTAAATAACAAATTTATCAATTCGAGACAGGAAAGATATGAAAATTTTGATTTATGAATTTAAAGATTGACATTCTTATGATCTTCTTAATAGGTGATGAAACGATCATCGATTAGATAAATAACAAAACACGTTAATATAAATAAAAACTTAAAACAATGAAAAACATTATCAAAATTCTACTTCAATCTCTTTTTTCCCTTTTTGTATCAGGGATAAAAATTTACATATTTTGTTATACGTTTTTTATTTTTTATTTTTTACTATACTTAGATGATTCTTATTTATAAACCTTTGTATTTTAGGTAATTAATATATCGTACAAAATTTTATCAATATTATTCATCTCTCTTTGAGTTTTCATTTTTTTAGTAATAAATGTTCTTTTTTTTATTAAATTAAACTAAGGCTATGTTTGATAAACTTAACTGATAAGATAACTTATAATTTTCAAGTAAATTCCGATCTTATATATGATAACTTATAACTCATGGCTGAAAAGCTAACTGATAAATGTGTTTGCTAAAATTAAATGATAAACTAGCTAAATAAAAAATCAATGGGCTTATTTGAAAAACTATCAATGAAAACTTGTGAGATAAGCTCGAGCTTCTTAAAAATATTTATCACAACAAACAAAGCTTATTTGAATACAATAAGCATATAAGCTATAAAATAAGCTATAAATTATTTTATATGCTTACCAAATTATTTTATATGAGACTATGTAATTAACTAAGAATTTGGCTTATATATGTTATAAACTTATAACAATAAGACTTTAAGGCTTAAACAATAGTACTTTTTTAACAAATACCCACACTTTCAAATTAAATTGTTATATTAGAAAAAGACATCAATAAAAATATCATATCTCATAGTATATATATAATTGCTGACAAGCTTTATTAAATTTTATTCAGCAAAAAATTAATAAAAATATAGTTCATTTATTAAAAATCATTACGACTCTCTTAAACAATTGTTACAATATATTCTATTTATTTAATTTTTTCTTTAAATTTGTTTCATACAATTAACCATTTAATTTTACTATATTTTGGGTTTGTAAAAGTTGAATGAGATTACCATTTTTTATTTCTCTATACTTGAGGTCTGTAAGTGTTGCATAGTGACCAAATCATGTTCAAAACAATAAATCTGAATGGTAAAAATTATATATACAAATATTTTAATTATATGTTGATTATTCACATGTGAAAGAAGTAGTATTAATTATTGATATTATATAGATACAATCCAAAAATACATATAAAAAAAAATCTTTTGTAATAGCGATATTTACACTAACTCCTTCAAATTAAATTTTTCCTGCAAGATTGCACACTATATCAGCTGAATTTAACGAAAAATAATTATCCATTTCATTTTATGCAATAAATGTAGTGATAAAGTTGAATACTTTTACGATGTTCATTTTTACTATTGACAAACTTTTTAATATGATACCATTATTTAACTTATAATTTTATTATTATACAAATACACATAACTTATATTAATTTGAACATATATGCACGTGCACATAGTCGAATACTGGTTTTATTAAAAAAACATAGACAGATCCACACGTCTAACTGGTTAGGTTTGCAAAGTTATCTATCTATATATATATAAAGAGGGAGTTGATGGAATTGAGGTTACTAATAATAAATGTAAATGCTTCTTTTAGAAATGGTATCAACAATATTTTTGGAAACAAATATATAATTAGTATGTTTGTCTTTTTAGTTTATTAAATCATTCATGATAATTAATTATCAATTTAATATAGAATGAGTATCTTATATGACTTGATAGTCAAAGTACGTGCATTATTCAACAATAATTTATGGTACTGAATCATTTTTTTATATCAAATGATTTGAGATGATGATATATAACCTTTTTATAATTTTTTATATATGGTAAGAAAAAAACATATTAAATATTATTTTTTACGTTTCCATATGGAAAGAATCTTATACAAATAAAATTGGATTAGTTTAATTGTAGAAAAACTGAAATAAAATGATTCAGTTTCCATATGGAAAGAATCTTATACAAATAAAATTAGATTAGTTTATTTGTAGAAAAACTGAAATAAAATGATTCATAAATTTGCGCAAAGATTGTAGTATATTAATGTATAATTCATTTTTCTTGAATTATGAAAGAACAATATAATGTAAAAATAATTCCATCACTTGCAACCAATTGAACAAAGCATCATAAATATTCTGGTTTTCCAAATCATGAATTGCACTTAAAGGTTGGGACTCCTGTCATGTTGTTGAGAAACATTGATCATTCAATCGGACTGTGTAATGGAACACGTTTGGTGATAACAAAACTTTTCACTCACGTGTTTGAAGTGTAAGATTCTAACAGGATCAAATGATAAGGTATTGGTATCAAGACTTTCCCTAACTCCATCTGATCTCATGATACCCTTCAAGTTCCAACGTAGACAATTTACTCTTATGTTTTCTTACGCAATGACAATCAACAAGAGTCAAGAGCAGTCATTATTCCATGTCGGACTTTACATGAAAAGACTGGTGTTTATTAGTCCTGGTCAATTATACGTTAATGTGTCTCGAGTCACTAATCCACAGGATTTAAGATATTAATATGTGGGGGACGACAATGGGGAAAAGAAACTACTAAAAATGTTGTCTATCAAGAAGTTTTTCATAATTTGTAATACCATATAATATTATACTTTTATTATCTATTCAATAATAATGTTATTTATTTGTCATTTACTTTTTATGATATATATATATATATATATATTTATATATTTTAATGTATTTATTAAAATATTTTAATAAATATGTTCCGTGCATCGCACGGGGAAGATACTAGTATATATAAGCAACCACATTTGTTTTCCTTTTTCTGGGTTAATAATAATAATAATTTTTCCAAAGTTCTTTCTGCACATTCTACCGCAGTTTTTCCTTTTTTTTTTTTTTTTTTTTTTTTTTTTTTTTTT